CCCCTAAATACATAGAAATTAAACAACACCCTACTCAGAAATCAATGGGACACAGATGAAATTAAACAAGAAATTCCAAAATATTTACAATTCAATGAAAATTCAACCGCAACTTATTGAAATTTATGGGATACGATGAAAGCAGTTCTAAGAGAGAAATTTACAGTTGGGAACTCACACAATAGGAAAACAGAAAGGGAACAAATAAATACCCTATTGCTGCACCTACAACATCTAGAAAAGGAAGAGCAAACCAAACCCAGATCGCAAAGATGGGAAGAAATCATAAAGATTAGAGCAAAAATTAATTCAATTGAGACGAAGAAAACAGTTCAAATAAATAACGAAAGAAAAAGCTGATTCATTGAAAGATTAAATAAAATCAATAAGCCCCTAGCTAACCTCATCAAAAAGAAGAAATAAAAATTCAAATACAAGCAATAAGGGATGAAAAAGTGGTAATCACCACAGACCCAGTGGAAATTCAAAAGACTACCAATAGTTACTTTGAGACTCTTTACTCTCACAGAATAGAAGACACAGAAGAAATGGGCAGATTGCAAGAAAGGAACAAATTACCAAAACTGAATCAAGAAGATAAAACAACTCTCAATAACCCAATAACTGCCAATGAAATACAAAATGTAATAAAAAGCCTGCAGATGAACAAAAGTCCAGGGCCTGATAGTTTCACAGTTAAATTCAACAAGAAATTTACAGAAGATATAATCCCTACACTCCCTAAACTCTTCAATGAATGAAAAAGAAACAGTCCTCCCAAAATCATTCCTGGAGGCAAGTTTTATACTGATACCAAAACCAGGGAAAGACCCAAATAAAAAAAGAGAACTATAGGCCAATCTCCCTCATGAACATAGATGCAAAAATCCCCAATAAAATCCTAGCAAATAGAATACAGCAGATCATCAAGAAGACAGTACACCATGATCAAGTAGGATTCATCCCAGGCATGCAAGGATGGTTAAATATTCAAAAATCTATAAATGTAATACACTACATCAATGAAGTAAAATCTAAGTCCTAGCCCAGGCCCAGTGAGTGCCTGGGAGAGCTTCCAGCTACCCTGCACCAGTGGGACGTATTACTGGTCCCAGCCCAGGCTCAGCGTGTGTGAGACCCTTTTCCAAACCCTTGGGACGCCCCAGACCACTCCGCAGCACCTCCCCCACACCACCTGCCGAGTAGGAATTTCTGCCGCATTCCTGGAACCCCCGACCCAGTACTAGCTCAGGCCTGGTGAGTGTGTGGGAGAGCTGCCTCTCCCCCCTACTCCACCTTGCCCCATCCAGGCTCAGCTGAGACCTGGCATACAGGCCTGGGGTGAAACCCTGCAGCCGCAATTCCTGCAGACACTGTAGAGGATAGAACGACCCAGCTAGTGCACGAGCAGAAAATCTTGCCAGAGGGGCACAACAGGTTCACTCCCAAGGGCACCAGCAGGAAGGAGCTGAGCACAGCAGCCAGACCCAAGCCAAGCACAGCTGGATAAATACAAACTTT